GTTCATTTCTTTAATCTGTAGCTGGAATTGACAAAATTATCCCTTTGTGACCATTCATTCATTAGTATTGCTTCAGACATCTTTAAGTTCCTTTTAAACACAAAATAGTTTGACATTATTGCTATTTGAATTAATAAGATATTAAATCCACTATGAGATCTTATTATCTAGTGTGCCCACCTTGTGCATTCAAAGCTCAAAACTCATTGCCGTTAAGTCAGTACTGACCCATAGCTGACCCTCCATTGGGTCACACAGGAGGAGACTGCCTTTCTCCCAAGAAGCCATTGGTGGCCTGGAACCATTAGAGAGGAGAGGCTTTTGGGTTAGCAGTGTGACTTCCTACAGATTATATCACCAGAGGATAGTTTTTAATGTTATAAGAACTAGTACTGGTGGCCTAGTGGGAAGAAGCTGCACTGCAATTCTGGGGGCACAAGGTTTGAATCCAGCAGTTGCTCTGTGGGAGAAAGATGGACAATTTCCTCCTGGATGATTAACTGCCTCTGAACTTGTCACTAGGAGGAATCAGTTCTCAGAGAAGGATATCATGCTTGGAAGGGTAGAGGGTCAGTGCCGGAGAGAAAGACTTTGAATGAGATGTATTGACACAGTTTATTATTACCCTATCTTTTGTAGTCCCCATTGAGTCTTCCCTATTCAACCCTTTTTTCTTTCTTTTGTATATCTACATTTATATCTTCTTATCTATAACAGCTTTATTGAGCAGCAATTCTATACCATAACATCATTTTGAAAGCATACAATTCAGTGTGCCGTCAAGTTGCCTGAGACTCATAGCAACCCTATGTACAACAGCTCTGCAACCTGCCCTGTCCTGAACCAGTCTCACTGACTCCGACACATGTACTCCCATTGCTCTAATTACTGTATCAATCCATCCAGGGTCTTCCTCTCCTCCCCTATCTCTTCACCTTTTGAGAATGATGTCCTTCTCCAAGGATAGGTCCCTCCTGGCCATGTGCCCAGGAGACTGAACTTCAAAGTCCTTACTTCCAAGCAGAAACTTGGTTTCACCCTCATCAAGACAGATCTATTTGTTTTCTTGGCGGTATATGGTATGTTCAAGACTCTTTTCCAGCACCACAACTCAAAGCCATCAGTTTTTCTTCTGTCGTCCTTAGGCATTGTGCAGCTCTGTGATGCACAGCAAGTAATTGCGAAGACCAGGCCTCAATCAGGTGCATCTTAGTCTCTAGACTAATATTGTTGCTTCTCATTACTCTGGAGAGGTCCCTGATAGCAGATTTTCCCAGTGCTACTGTATTTTGATTTCCTGACTGCTGGTGCTAAAAGTGTTGATTTTGGAGCCAAGCAAGCTGTAATTCTTAACAACCTCAATCTCATCTCTATCTGTTATGATGACCTTGGGTGTGCTATTCCTAAATTAAATTTTTATTTGAAAAAAAATTGCATGTGAGGAGATTGCCCTCAGAGTAGCTGGTGGATTCCAACCCTATACCTTTGGATTGGTAGCACAATTCTTACCATTAAGCCACCAGACAACTTACCTCTGGAAACTCTATGAAATTTGATAAATGTCGATAGTTGTAGAGGGGCTTCAAGCCTTTTGTTCATAGGGTCGCTATGAGTCGTGCTCGACTCGAAGGCAGTCAGCAACAACAACAGCCTCAACAACAAGCCACCAGAGCTGCCAAGTGATATTAACTTAAGTATTAGTGGGTGCAGATCACTTGCTTTTCTTTCTCCGTCACCCATTCTCAGGGTGTGAAGGCGGGACTGACTTGCGGGCCACTGTATTCAAGGATAGCAGCTACTTATGCATCCTGAACAGAAAAGATTATGATCATAAGGATTGGAAAAATAATTGGAATAATCCCAAACTGTTATTGGGCCCTACACTGGTGACATAGACTTTAATGAGTTGCACTGTTAACCTAAAGGCTGTGCCTCCTGTTGTTGTGTACCATGCAGTCAAATCTGACCGGCACAGGAGATTGCCTCTCCTCCAGGAGAGCATCTGGTGGATTCAAACAGTGTACCTTTAGGATTGCAGTGCCGCTTCTTGCCACTAGGCCACCAGAGCTCCCAAGTCAGTGCCTCTTTGACAGTTCGACTCCATTAGTAATTTTGTGGAAAAAAGATGAGCAATTTCCATCTGTGCAATTTACAGCCTTAGAAGCCAATTGGAGAGTCAGCTATGAGTTGGTTCTGATTTGACAGCAGTGAGAGGGACAAAGAGAGACCCTGGACCCTAGTGTAAGGACCCTTAGTGGCACAGTGTTCACAGTGATTGGCTGCTAACCAAAATTTCTCTATAGATTTAAACACAGCCTTGGAAACTCTGTAGGGTAAATGAGTTGGAATCCACTCTATGGCTCTGTTGTGTTTAGTTTTGTTTCCTAGCAACAGTTTACAAGGCTGGAGGAGGAGAAATAATGGTGGTACAAAGACTCCTTTGTAACAGAACACCAAGAAGAAAATGGTTTTGTATTACAGATCAGATTTCAGATCACCATTTACTGAGCTACCTTATGCTGGGCTGAGGAGAAGCCTTCCTCCCCTGGACCTCTCAGGTGAGGGCAGGAGGCTCCCAGTATGGGGGGCATTACCTGCTAACCTTAGCCCCAAGGAGTAAGTGCTTCATGGCATTTCAAGAATCGTGGACATAACCTGAGCGGCTCTAACACAACAGACGCTCAGTTAACGCAATCCTTTGTGTGGCTTGTAAAACCAGAAACCAGTTTTACTTAAAATGTGGTTTGTTAAAACCTCCATATTAACTCTATAAAAATATTTTAAGAGATAGCTGGTAAGAGAATCAATTATTGCCTCCCTTATCCATTCAAGGCTCTGGGGTAAGACGTGGGGAGTGGAGGAAAAAGGGAAACAGCGCCCTCCTCTGTCAGCTCCTGTCACGAGTGCTTTTTCTGGGACCAAATGTAAGACTGTTATTCTTCACATTTTGATTTCTCAGGAATTCTAGGAGAGGAAAACTATTTTATTGATAGTGCATCAGTCTTCTGAAGAGTCATATGGAAGAAAAGGTAATAAACTTTTAACTGTCGGACTATATGATTACCTATGGCTGCATGACAGTTTACCCTAGAATTGATCTTAAAACGAAAGTAAATGTTGATTATCTCCTTTTCACTAGGTTAGGAGTTTGAGAGTGGTTTATTTGGTGGTTCTGCATTGGGTTTGCCCCAAAGGTTTTGCTTCGTGATCTGAAGGCCTGCCCAGTACTGGGGAAGCCGTTCTTAAGGCAGCTCCATCAGTGGCCTGGCACCTTGGTGCTGGTTGGTGACCTCAGAACTGGTTTTCCCCAGGGAGAGTGCTCCAAGTGAGAGCAAGGAGGAGGCACAACATCACTTAAGACCAAACCCCGTAAGTCACTCCCCTCAATTAACAAATAGCTCTGTGCAATGTAGAAGCCTACTACAAAGCCCCAAACCATTGCCACTGAGTTGATTCCAACCATATGACCCTATAGTACAAAACAGAACTGTCCTATGGGGTTTCCAAACTGGAGTTTTATGCAAACCAACTGCCTCCTCATTCTCCCTCATAGAAAGTGATGGGTTCAAACTTCAAACCATCAACCTTTTTGTTAGCAGCATAGTGCTTACACAGTGCACCACCAGTGGCCCATGGACTGGTTATCACAGGAACTTTGTGTAGGTATGATTACAGAGAACAGGTGTGGTTTTGGTTGACAACGGATGTGCCATTACTGAACTCACTAATAGCTGACCCTGACAATAAACATAAACTTTGGTTCAGACCTAGGTCACGTGCACGTCGCCTGCCCAAACATGTTCTACCTGCTTGCTTTCAGTCTGGCAAGTATGACTGAGGATCAGATCAAGATCTATGCACCTCCTTTGGTTCTAGAGTAAATTAGTAAGGAAATTATTAATGTTCCATTTCCTAGTCATCAGTATAAATAGCTTCAGAGAAAGCACTTCCTTAGCTAGTTCTAGTACTAATTTCAGAACTTAACAACTTTCGTGGGTTGTTATTGCTAAGTGCCCTCAAGCTGACAATGCCTCATAGTGACTCCATAAAAAATGCATCTGAACTCCGTCCTATCCTGAGCCATCCTATCACTTCTGACACACTCGAGCCCGTTGTTAGAGTCACTGTGTCAGTCTACCTTGTTGAGGGTCATCCCATTCTTACTGACACTTCATTTTTTTTTTTTTAGCATTCTGTCCTTCTTCAAGGATTGGCCTCTTCTAACTGCCTGAGAGATGAAGTTTCACTCTCCTTGTCTACAAACGATTGCACCTTTTCCAAGATGTACGTGTTTGTCCTTTTGGCAATCCATGGGATACTCAGTACTTATCTCCAACACCACAACTCAAATACATTAATGATTCTTCTGTTATCCTTATTTATTGTCTAACCTTCATAGCAATTAGGGGCTATTTTTTGGGAGGGGGGTTTCTATTTTGTTTATTTCCTTTAAGACCACCTTCTTGCAATTTTCAGAGAGAAAATACAAAACAAGAACTAGACTTGGTTTCAAATACATAAACAGTGTGCTGGACTATAAAACATAACTGATAACATTGTTTAGAAGAATGTCAGCTTACTCCAGGTCACTTCAATATTCCTGAGGAATAAACATGATTTCTCTTTTTCTCCCACTGGGATGATCTCAGGCTTAAGTCACTGCTCTTTGACATATTTTCCATGAAGAAGATAAGGAACCTGGAAACCATGTTGACAGTTGGAGTAAGCCATTCCCAATTCCATGCCAGAACCTAAGGCTAACGGCCACATTCTTCTTTGAAAGAAGTTGAGTGAAAAAAAATAATTCCTAATCCAAGACCAGTACCTATTTTCATGACCATATCTGCCAAGCACCAGTTCCACTTCCTGCTGAGCTCTGAATCTGACATGATCCCCCTCCTGCAGCTGGGGAGGGGCTATTTTATTATTTTAGTATGATTGAAGTTACTCTTTTTGTGAAAATGATGTAGCAGAAGCAGCTGATAGCTTCTAACTGCATAGAGGGAAAGGTGAGTCAAGATCAGCAGAAGCCAAGGTTGATGCCTATAGAGAGAGATTAGATCTGCCCCACCCTCCAATCTCTTCACCATTCTGACACTAACAGTCCCTCCCATGGTACTTGCTCCATCTTTGCTGGGTTCATTAATTTGATACAACAACAACACTGAACTTACAGAGAATATACATTAATCATTATATTCATTATTACAGCTTTTGGTTCTTTTTAAGAGAAATAACAGATTATAAGGGAGTTCTAGTGGCCTAGTGGTAAGAAGCTGTGCTGCAGTCCTGAAGGTGTGTGGTTCAAATCCACCAGCTGCTCTACTGGAGAAGGATGAGCAATCTCCTCCCATGAAGTAAACTGCCTCTGAAAACCCTCCATAGGGTCAGCTATGGGTCAGATCAGACTCAACAGTACACAAAAACAACAACAGATTATAAGAGGAGCTCTGGTGGCTTGGTGGTAAGGAGTTATACTGCCAATCCAAAGACATGAGGTTCGAATCCACCAGCTGCTCTGCGGGAGGAAAGAGGGCAATCTCCTCTCAAGCAATTTACTGCCTCTGAAAACCTGCTGAAGTTTCAGTTATGAGTTGATTCTGATGGTACACAACAACAGTAACAATAACAACAATAATAATAACAACAGATGAAAATTCAGGTTGGTCAAGGTTTGTCTCACTTACTTTGGGTATGTTTTCAGGAGGAGCTATTTCTTGGGAAGGGCATCATGCTTGGAAAGAAGGAAGGTTAGTGAAAGGTAGGAAGATCCTCGATGAGATGGCTTAACGCAGTGACTGCAGCAGGATGGCATAGGGTGGGACAGAGTTCAGATCTGTTGCTCGTAGGGTCCTATGAGTCGTAGTTGACTCAATAGCACATAACAACATCAAGAGTGTTCAGGACACAGACAAGCCTCTTCTCAGATTTGCCCAAAGGGAGGTCTTTCTCTGACCCTCCAACTAGACACCTGCTCTGCAAGTGTTACAAAGCTCTGCCAGCAAGTGCCCAGAGACACTTGCTCCAACAACAACACTATACCCTAAATGTGCGCAGCCTTCGCTTCTCAAGTCAGCAAACCTAGTTCCCCCAAAGGTCCAGGGATGACCCACCCTGCCCGTGCATTTCATGTCTAAAAGCGTCCAGCATGCTCACTCTGCGGACCAGGAAGCCAGCTGCATTGTCTTATGTGGGTCTCTTGGCTTGGTTGCTTCTAGTGCTGCTGCTTCTTACCTTCTCTCACAATCTCTCTTTTTATTTGTTGTTGTTGTTAAGTGCCGTCAAGTCGTAGGAGGCTCATAGCAACCCTATGAAGGAAAGCCCTCAACACTTGCATGACTTTCATCCTTTCTCCAGGTTCATAGGGTTTCCCGAGGCAAGCTATTACGGAAATGGATGCCACTCCTGCTTCACAGCTTTCCGCTTTATGACTCAAACAACTTCCTATCATTGCCATCAAGTTGGAAGAGCTCTGCTGATCTTCTGTTGGTTTTCTGAGGAGAGTGCTTATCTTTCTCCTGCAGAGCAGCTGGTGGATTCAAACTTCCAAGAGGCAAGGCCTATGCGTCAGCAGCAGCACAATCCCCTCAAGGCAGCAGCGGTATGAGAGGCATGCTTCAGGGACAGAAAAGGGAGCTCCTCCAGCCTGGAGGAGTCATGTGACTTTCTTGGCAGAAATGTGTGGCAAATTTGCTAAACCAGTTTTTCTGGACTGTGAGAGCCAAGAGAAAACAAAACAAAAACAAAAACAAAAACAAAAACAAAAACAAAGTACTTCAAACTCCTTGAGATACTCTTGACCTTTCTTTTGTTGGTCAAATTGTTTCTCGTATTGTTGAGAAGTTTGACTGCCTGCTCAGGTGCACAAGTACAGAGATCCTTCAACAAAGAAAAAAAAATTAGAAGAATTTCCAAGGCTATTTTGTCCAAGCTTCTTGTTTCCCAGTTTGGTTTTGTTTTTGTTTTTTAAATTTTTATAATTTTTGTGTGAGTGTACCCTCAAATCAGATCTGACTGGTACAGGAGGAAATTGTCCCTCCTTCCCCGGAGGAGCATCTGGTGGATTCGATGTTTCCCAGTTTTTAAGTGGAGGCTCAGTTATGCCACACAGCTTATGGTGGGTCTACAGTGTTGAAGGTGGAAGAACAGCGCAGGAGGGGAAGATCCTGGGTGAGATGGATTGATGCAGTCACTGGGGTAATGGAGGCAGGTGTGTCAGAGACAGTGAGATTGGCTCAGTATAGGACAGGGTTCAGAGCTATTGTAGGCTCCCTATGAGTCACAAGCGACTAGCAACGTCAAATGTTTAATGTGGTACCTCTGGTGGCCTAGTGGCGAGAAGCTACACTGCAATCCCAAAGACAGGGGGTACAAATCCACCAGTTGCTCCACAGAAGGATGGGTCCTCCTGTTCAGTAGCTGCCTCTAGGTCAGTTTCAACTCCACACAACAACAACAACAACAATAACAGTATTTAATGTACATAATGTCTTTTACAGTGATATTTTGAGTATTTATCTTAAATTGTATGGAAGCCATTTCTCACAGACTGTCCAGCGCTGGGCTGATAGTTGTGGCTTAATCATGTGTGATCAAGAGCATCACTGACTGGAAAATGCCATAGGAAAATTGGGGCTATTACAGCCAAATCCATATCGAGGTAATTTTAAATGCTTTGTCAACTCTGTCATTTTAAAAGCACTCCCCCCCCCATTTTGAAATCACAGTATAGCAATTACTGAAGAGTTAAGTTTACCAAAACCAGAACAATCCAAGTAGAAAGAAAAAAATAAACAACTTTGCAGAAGACTCTCAGGGATTGAGGGAGCTCGGGAGGCTTAGTGTTAAGGAGTTGTGCTGCCAACCTAAAGGCAGGTGGTTCAAATCCACCAGCCACTCCTCTGGAGAAATAAGGAAAATCTTCTCCTGTGCAATTTACAGCCTTTGAAAGTCTGCAAGAGGGTCAACTATGAGTGAATCTTGACTTGACAGTCCACAACAACATTACAAATGGACTTGAATATTTCCACCACTCCAAGTTATATTGACATCTTAATTCTACTCCCATAATATGATCCATTTGAGAATAGGAATCTTCTTTATTATATTATGGGTTCTAACCCTAATCCTTTCTCGGTAATGTCTCAGAAAAAGAGCAGGCTAGACACAGAAGAAACAGATGTTTCCTTTGAAATTGAGAATTGATTGAGATTGAGAATATATATATATTCTCAAATTAATATAAATAGAAACAGGAGAAACCAGATGTCATATGCATCAGCTATAAACAGCCAAGAAATACCCAGGGCTGCAGAAGTGGAGATAGACAAGGATCTTCCGCTTCGGACCAAAGACAGAGACAGACAGGCAAGCACAGACAAGCCCAGTCAACACTCTGAATATGTACTTTAAGCCTCTTAAATGGAAATAATAAACTATTATACTTTGTGTGACTTTGTGTTGCTGCTATATTCACACTAGCTAACTGAAATAAATATTTATTAACATGTTCCAATTGTTTCCCTTTAATAAACACATTTACTTGTTCTCAATTTAGAAACCTGGAATCTGAATTCAGGGTGTCAAGTCGAGGCAGGCTCTCCGATCACTCTGGTGGAATGTCCTTGCCTCTCTTCAGCTTCTGCTCTTAGGCTTCTTGATAATCTCCATGTGCCTTGGCATCTCTGCTTGCTCCTCAATTACTGTTGTTGTTGTGTGTTATCATAACTGACCCTTCAGAGGCAGTAAGTAGCGCAGGAAGAGATTGCCTCTCCTCTTGTGGAGCAGTTGGTGGATTCGAACCACATACTTTTGAGATTGCAGAGTACAGCTTCTTCCCACTAGGCCACCAGAGCTCCTTCAGGGCCTAATCAGCCCATTTTTTTCAAGTCAGATCCAACTGGCACAGGAGGAGATCACTCCTCCTTCTCCAGTGGACTTGAAAAGCATACCTTAGGGACTGCAGTGCAGCTTCTTGCTACTAGGCCACCATAGCTCCCTAAGTTTATGGTTTGTTTTGTTTTGAAATCTCAAAAGTGATTACTTAAAACATAAACTCCACTGTTGTGATTTCTTTAACATAACAAAGAAAACATGTTCCCCAAATGAGATTACAATCTCAAATACAGGTGGTTGCATTTATAGCACATATTTTGAGGAGACACAGTTCAATCTATAATATAAACAGAAGGATTTTTTTCAGAGAAATTCCAACTTTCAGATAAATAATTTATTGCCAGTCTGCACATTTAGAAATGAGAAAGTCTTCAGGTCGAAGAAACATGATAACACACGGATATCTGGATTTCCACAATAAAGGACATCTGAAATGAGGGGGGAAAGTGGGTAAGAATGAACCACACTTTTTCTTCTTTTCAATGATTTTATAGGAAGATAAATGTACAAGAGACCACACTCTGTTCAGCTTCATTGCTGCTGCTGTTGTGTGCTGTTAAGTCAGAACTGACTGTATCGCTGAACCTTGGGCGGGTTTTCAGAGTCAGTTAATTGCATGGGAGGAGATTGCCCATTCTTCTCTGGTGGAGCAGCTGGTGGATTCCAACAGCTTGTCTTTAGGATTGCAGTGCAGCTCTTTATCCCTGTTGTTGTGATGTGCCATCAAGTTGCCTGCATCCCACAGTGACCCTATGTGCAGCAGCTCTGAAGCCTGCTCTGTCCTGAGCCAGTCTCACTAATTCTGACACACTAACCCCCATTGCCCCAGTCACTGTGTCAAGCCGTCTCATCCTGGGTCTTCCTCTCCTTCGCTGTCCCTCCACCCTTCCGAGCATGATGTCTTTCACCAAAGGCCAGTCTCTCCTGGCCACATGCCCAAAGTAGATGAGACAGAGCGTAAATAGCCTCACCTCCAAAGAAAGACTTGATTTCA